GCTTACCTTCTGCTTCAGGACGGCGCGTAAACTTTCATGGTAACTGTGCAAAAAATAGCAGTACTATACCATTTTTCGCTACAATTTTTGTTTGTCATAGCATAATTACAGTTTTCTTTCAGTTTTTTTTTGAATTCTGTCTACTGTTATGTTTAGTGTAAAAATGTGTTCGAAGAGAAGCTCCGAGTTTACGCCGATAACATGCGAAAGCTGATCATCACAGCGCGCAAGGCTATCAAGGATCTGAAGCAGGAGAACATCACGCTCAAGCGAAAGTTTGTGCGCTTTCAGTTCTTCGTACAGCTCAGCTCTCCGTATAGTCCCTGTGATTGTGTTTTTGTTTAGGCTAGAGGCGAGTGGTCTGATCGAATGCCCTGCTTGTTTGTTCCATTTCAAACCAGAGAGAAAAAATCGAATTCTCCCGAAGTATATTAAAGTAAGTTCCCGTTTTTATCAAATCATTCGGTTTTGAATCTTCAGTTAGGCTCTTTTTTCGAATAATTTCATGTGTTTTATTGTTGTGGAAACAGTTTCTGAAAATTTCGTGAAACTACATTTGATAACATAAAAAAAACTATACGAAAATATGATATGTACGAACAATAAGGGTCTGTCCATTCCGGTCTTGTTTCTGGACCTTATTTTGTTCCCTTTTACATCGCCTAGCTTTGATTTCGTAGCCTATACATATCTTGTTCGCTATTCCATTATGTTTTAATTGTTGTTTTTTTTTTGAAAACTTTCTGTAATCAATCTCTCCTTTCAGGTTTTTCGTGGGAAACTAGCTCTTGAGGTTGAGTTCTCTTCTTTGGACGAGATGTCGGAGTGGTTAACAGTGAATCAGCTTGATGAAAATAGTGATGGTCTTCCTACAATGGTGAGTTTTCACTGCCTTCCTCTTATCTCACATCTACATATTTTCTATTCATCATGTCACATCCGTCTTTCATCTATTTTCATGGCAATGCCTTTCAGCTCCCAAATGATCAAAAGCTTGATCTGACGACGACAGGCAGTCTCCTCCACGAACTTGTAAATGAGCAAAAAGAATCCGAGACCAAGCAGAACAGAGTCGTGATTAGTACTCGACGTCGTTTAAGTCACTCGAGGGTCATCGCACAACAGTCCACAGCCGGCTTCAAGGAAAGCAGTGGGAGAATCTGACGATGTAGGGAGTGCGCATTCTTCTGAAAGGAGCCGTGACAAGAGCATGAAGAAAAACAAGAAAAGGGAACGGTGGACGAGTCCAATTTTTTCTCTTGAATCGTCGTCAACCGCGAGCGATGGCAGGTGTGAGGATTCCGAGAGGAAAGCAAAACATCCCAACGATTTGTTGTCATTTGAGACTTGTGCCAAGATTGTTAGTAGTTTGAAGGAGAGTTTATCCATGGAGGTATCAGATACCGCCGCTGCACGGCTGGGAGTTCATAAAGACTATAATAAGGATTCAGAAGCCGTTTCACATGCAAAAGACATGTGCAGGTCTAAAGATTATAAAGACCAAGATAGTAGAAGAAGTGATTTCAATAGCCATCGCGATGAATGTGAAGTGAAGAAATAAAAAGGAGTACGCAGACTGAGAGACAAAAAGGAGTTGAAACGTCATCTACTCGACATCATAGCTCACACGATGTCGGAGAAGAGGCAGGTGTGAAGCTTCTCGGAGCAGCTAATGATTGCAATGAAAAAGCATGTCCGACGAGATAATTATCATAGAAAGAGTCGTGTTCCTTGCCGTTCTGACCAACCCCTAAGTCTTGCTCCAACTGAGAAAAAGGACAAGAATGGTGTCGGAGAGAATGGTCGAAGTACTGATAGTCGACTTTCGTCTGAGCTCTCGGGGAAGGAGAATGTCGCCTACCACAGGGAAAGTGACCGACTCATAACGAGAAAAGTGGAGAGCTCGCGTCACAGAAGAAAAGACGATGTTCCGGAAAGTGAGCGGCACATTGAAGTCACGCCATTAGAGAATCTATCAAGATCAAATGTTCATGGACAAAGAACCAAAACAAGATAGGCATGGAGATTCTCAGAAAGGAAGGTCCAGAAGAGAGCACGTTCCAATCAAAGGTGAGTCATTTCGTAGTATTAATATGTGAGCATTTTTCGCATTCTCTTTGGTATAGTATGACTGGCCGTCTGCTCGAATGAGGATTCTTTTTTTTGTTTCGTGGGCGGCTTATCGTAGAATCTGTGGAGCTGGAGTTTTGATGCAGTCTCTGATGTTATTTTTAAAGATTCGGTAAAGCATGATGCTGAAGAAAAGGACGTTCGCACTACTGGCTCTGTTGGGACTAGTCGGAATAGTTATGGTAATTATTTCGATTTTTTTTTATCCTTTACATTGTTTAATTTCTAAATATCTTGTTGTATTTTACGTGTGCTGGTCACGCTCAGGGACAGGTGTTGTAGGAATGGTTGGTTTCACTGACCGGCATTTCATTTTTATATATATACCAGTTTGGCTGCGCACGCATTCGCGTGCATGAGACGGGGCTCAGCAGCGGTAAAATCGGGCCCATCAGTATTTTTGTCTTGATTTTAGCTTTCTGCTCGGTACATCTTACTTACGCCGCAAACTCCGCCCACATCCGGGTGTGCCACGCCCAGCGTTCACATTCAACCTCTACTCCTACTTTCACCTCTGGCGTATTTTTTTCAGGTCTCTAAGTCATCTCGGAGCCGAATTATGAGGTCTTGTAAATGGCGTTATGAGTCACGAATTTCTGAGGCAGACCCCGCCCACTTTGGTGCATGCTTAGCCCAACAATGGCATTCAACCCTACTCCATACCTCAATACTTATGCACATTTTCCCCGGTCGCCGGAACTTCTAGGAACCGAGTTATGAGAGCGGTGGCAAACTCCGCCCACATCCGGGTGTGCCACGCCCAGCGTTCACATTCAACCTCTACTCCTACTTTCACCTCTGGCATATTTTTTTCAGGTCTCTAAGTCATCTCGGAGCCGAATTATGAGGTCTTGTAAATGGCGTTATGAGTCACGAATTTCTGAGGCAGACCCCGCCCACTTTGGTGCATGCTTAGCCCAACAATGGCATTCAACCCTACTCCATACCTCAATACTTATGCACATTTTCCCGGTCGCCGGAACTTCTAGGAACCGAGTTATGAGAGTGGTGGCAAACTCCGCCCACTTCCGGGTGTGCCACGCCCAGCGTTCACATTCAACCTCTACTCCTACTTTCACCTCCACATTTTTTTCAGGTCTCTAAGTCATCTCGGAGCCGAATTATGAGGTCTTGTAGGGGACGAAATCGAGCTACGTATCTTTGTGGCAAACCCCGCCCACTTTGGTGCATGGGTCGCCCACTGATATCAGTGACTATCATCTCTTCCCCAACCTTTTTCTACTTTTTCCCATCTCCGGAACTTATTGGAACCGAGTTATGAAGTACCGTGGCAAACCCCGCCCACTTTGGTGCATGCTCCGCCCGCCAACAGCGGTTGACCCCTTTCCCTCTGCCAACCCTTATACGCTTTTTTCCCGGACTCCGGGACTCCTAGGAACCGAGTTATAAGCCTAATTGCAAACTCCGCCCACTTTGATGTAAGCCACGCCCATCCCTGACATTTAGCTTCCCCTCCCCTCCTGACCTCTATCCGTTGTTTTCCGGTCTCTAAGTCATCTCGGAGCCGATTTATGAGCTCTTGTAGAAAACGCTGTCCGCTTCACGACACGCTCCGCCCATTGTGGGCGGGCCTCCGTTCACATCATGCGTGCTGGAAATACCTTAGACATTGCTCCCCTGCACTAATTTCTTTTCTGCTCTGTAGGCTTCTCCTAACCGAGTTATGAATATTTTCACTGAGCACCGCTTTTTCTAGAGAACGCCCCGCCCACCGAGGGTGGGTCTCCTCAGTTCGATCTGGCTTACCAACCCACACCTATGCCCACTTTTGTCCCGGTCTCGAGGCTGTTTTGTGACTGAATTTGAAATCAACCGATGCACGCCACGCCCACTGTGGGCGGGGCTCCGCTTGGCTGATGTGTGTTTTTTACTTCTAGGGATATGGTATACCCATCCCAAACTTGACCTGGACCCTGTAGGTTGTTGTTCGCTTGATACCGAATTTCGTGACAGACGGACAGACAGACATAGCGCATTATATATAGTAGGGATCGAAGGATGAGAATGTGTGAAGTATAAGTGTTCGATCTATTGAGTTAGGTAAAACTGGTTGAGTGGTGCAGGTGAAACTCTGTCCGTTTTTATGTTGCGTCGTAAATATTGAGGTGAAGGAGAGCTCTTGACAGGTCCGACCGCTTTTTATGTTAGGGTGATCTCTTTTGAATCGGAGGAAACTGCCGCTGCTATGACAGATGCCAAAATCATCCTGTGGATGAACCGCTCATTTGGAAGGCAGCGATCACGAGGCCGATTGTGATGCGGTTATGGAGCCGTTGAACTTAATTGGTGGAAAGGCGTTCAGAGGCGTCCCAGCCACTCCCCTTCCCGCTGCGCGCTGAGTGGTCTAGTCTGCCAGTGGCGTTATGACGTGATACTACTGCCATGTAAGGCAAATTCCGCAAAAGCAGAGGTGAGGTAAATATGGGGTACAAGTATGTGTGAAATAATTACCTGTTAGTGAACAAATCAGAAGAAATCGCTAAAATCACTCTGATTAGCCATCTTTTTTTTCTGGATGAATTGTCGTCGGTAGTCTGTGAGATGAGTAGCCTGAGAGGCACTGGGCGTTGAGGAGAGGGAACAGACGAGAGGAACGGCAAGGAGCGAAAAACAGATACCATATTGGTGAACTGCTTGAGATGTTCATATAGCAATTTTTAAGCCCTTTAGACTTTCACTTTCCTTTCGTTTCAAGTCACGTAACTGGCCTGGGGCCGGGTGCAGCAAGCCTCTCGTACAGGGGACGCAGCCCCTCGTACGAGGGGCTTGCTGCACCCGGCCCCTGATCTCTGCGGTTGCCCATTACCTGGAGGGATTGCTCCAGTGGTCAGCCTTTGACGAAGCTGCGTAGTGGGATT